TCCTACAGCCTCAGTAGCAGCCGAAACGGTCTCGAGTCGTCAGGTTTCCCGAGACGAGCTCACCACGGGACTACCTGGGCTGTTGTTGTGCCGCGACAATAGGCAGGATTGTTCGGCAATGTTTAGCAGCAATTAAGGCTCGATGGGATAAATTCGTTTGTCTCCCCAACAGTACAACCCCCGTCGAGATTCAGCAATCTGCAAAGTTCTTCCCCTACTTCAAAAACTGCTTGGGAGCTGTAGATGGAACTCACATCCCAGTGGTTCCTCCCGCTTCAATTGCGCCGCGGTTCAGAAACAGAAAAGGTTTTCACTCCAGTAACGTGCTTGGGGCGTGTAACTTTGCAATGGAATTTGTGTATATCCTCCCTGGCTGGGAAGGTTCTGCACATGACGGTCGAGTACTAAAAGATGCTGTTAGTCACAATTTTCATATCCCGAAAGGTACGTAACCTCACTTGTCATGAAAAAAACTTTACCTAATTTTCCTATTGATGCGGCCTGTGTAGGTAAATACTACTTAGGAGATGCTGGCTACGCGTTAACCAGCTACACAATGACTCCTTATAGAGGAACACGTCATCATCTTAAAGAGTTCGGCGATGGTCAGCAGAAACCACAGACAAAAGAGGAGTTGTATAATCTGCGTCATTCATCGCTGAGAAACGTTATCGAAAGAGCGTACGGAGCTATCAAATTCAAGTTTCCAATTCTGCTACACATGACTTCATATGCGCTTGCAGACCAGATAGGTCTAATACAGGCCGCGTTCGCAATTTTCAACTTCATTCGTCGCCATGGCGATGAATGTTCAGACTCAGACGGGTCCACCAGGGAAACCGAAAACGTAAGCGACGAAGTAGAAGACGCAGGGGACACACATACGGACGCTACGGACGACAGCGATATGAAGAAGCTTCGAGATGAAATAGCATCGATGATGTGGCAGAACTACCTTGTGACTCTTGGTGGAAGATACGGTGAGGTCGTAGTGTAGCTAGTTTTACACCACTGAACAATTTACAGTAATGCCCAGCACGTGCACAATGTATAAAAGTCTGCGAGGCTATTCCACGCAGATCATATTTGCTATTACAGGGCTTTGTCAGTCCACTCGCTAAAATAAAACTCTATCTGACCGAATTCGGGCGGATAGAGGATAGAAGATTTCGAATCGATTTGCTCTCGAATCCGCATTCGGAGCACGCAGAGTTTTGAGTGATCCGCTGGATGGTAAAATTCCGCTGAAATGGCCTCAATCCGCTGGAATTTGTACCTGCGGAACAGGGCCTTCGACTTATACTTGACGCATTGGCAAGAAATCTCGACAACATTTTATCTGGCATCACCATGGAGTCTGCAGGCCGAGTGTCACTTGTGCTGCCTCCAGTATTGCTGTCTACCCCGCCACAGTGAGCGAAGTCTGCCGTGAGTTGACCAGAATCCGGAACCTGCCAGAATGCCCCAGTACCAACTTCGCACGGTTCAAGTCTCATTATTTTCGCGTCCTCGTTTCCGTTGGCTTTCTGGGGATCCTTAACTGTAAAAATTTCGGAAGTCATAAATTCCAGGAGCTCGAAAGCGTCAATTTCCCCCGAACCATCCAGATCGTACTTAGCAGTCATGCGAGCAATGGCATCGTCGACTTCGGCTTCTTCCGACACACCCAGTAGCTGAAATGCGCGTCGAAGCTCGTCTGTATCTAATGAACCGGAATTATTCGAATCGACAAACGTAAACCCAACACGAGCGAAGAGATCAGCAAATTCTCGTTTGTGAACAGACCCACTTTTGTCATAATCATATTTTTCAAGTAACCTCGCGAGTTGGGCGTCAGAAACTTCGAGACCGCAGCTACGTAGAGCATTTCCAAGCTCACTATACTCCACATAGCCCGATCCGTCTTCATCAAGTCGCTGGAACAGCAATGCGACTGGTTTTAGATATTTCCCACTGCTAGTGGTATCGATGAGTTCCTCGGGCGCTGAAGAAGGACTCACGCATCGATTTACCATTTCGAGTTTTGTTCCTTGTCCTCTTTGCATCGACGCGTTATACTCGAGCTTTGTAAAGTGGAAACGTGCAGATTTCGCTACTGCAAGTCGCAGTAATTCGTGTGCTACCATGTGCTCGTAGGCGTCACTGAGGTCCAATACGTAGCTACCTGCTGGATCTACCGGATTAAAAACATGCAATTGCTCGTCTCCCGTTGCTGCTGACATCTTCGGAGCCGATACATGCAAGTTACAGTCCAAGAGCGATAGCTGACACACAGTCGACGATGATCCCGTATTTGGTCGTGGTGCACAACTGGCGTGCATGAGAGCTGCAACAAAGAAGTCAATTTCGTGTGTTTTTTTGTTTTTTTTGAACATGTAGAAGATCACTCAACTCCGGGTATAGGTCCGTAATGAAAGGAAGTGCTTTGACTTCACGTCGGCTCTCCGCCCCAGTCTTCCTTACACGCGAAATACACGGGCCTCTGTAGCATGGCCCCCTCCAGAAGGAGGCAAACTCGCCAAGGGGCGCCGTTTTCATCACTCCACAGCGGTAAGCCCGCTTAAATTCTCGGACTGGGGCCCGCCTCTTCATGTACCGGTGTTTCCTGCTCTTCGCCTTGAAATACCCGACTTTAGATGAATGCGCAACGCGTGAGATGCGCTCTTACTCTGCGTACAGCGGCGCAGTTCTCTTCGACAGCGCCGCAGCTCGCGCCATCTCGGCGTCTCTCACTTGCTGGAATGTGATTGTCTCGTAAATGGGCCGAGGCTTCTGTGCTGAACAATGGGTTTCGCCCTATTTATCCTTTCCGCTGAGGATCACTACCCAGAAAAACACCGGTTTGGCCTTTTGGTCTGAACTTGTACGCAGTGGAACGCTTCCCGTCCGGAATGAGAACGACACATTGTTGTCCAAACGTTCGCACGTGCTTCAGGTCCGGTCGGCGTCCCCAAAATCTCTCAAAAGGTGTTTGAATCGGATTAGCTTTGCTCAGTACTCGATTCAGTGAGAAAACCGTGTTGCGTACGGCGTATTCCCACAGATAGTGAGGTAACTCTGCTTGCAGTATGATAGCCCTGGCACTTTCTGTGATCGTGCGATGGGTCCTTTCAATCTTTCCGTTTTGGTGATGAGCGTCAGGTTCTGACATTTCGATCGTGATGCCTTCGTCTTCACATACTTGCTGAAAAGGAGCTCCAATAAATTCCCCTCCGTTGTCGGACCGGAAAATCGATCGGGATGGATTGATGAGATTGGTGATGCCAGAAACCTTGCAACAGGATGTCCTACACCACTACCACGCTAGCTTGGAAGGCGGACATCAGGGCATTGGTCGGACCTACCAACGGATCCGGGAATGTTTCCATTGGAGAGGACTATTCAAGAGTGTACAACGATATGTCGGTGAATGCGTGGATTGTGAGACAGGCAAGGGCAGACCTACAATCGAAGGGGAGTCACCTGGGAATGTCCGAGCGACTTACCCTTTCCAGATCATAGCCATGGATCATATCCCCTCGTTGCCCAAGTCGTTCAAAGGAAACACAGAATTGTTGATTTGGGTGGACCTGTTTACCGGATATGTGATTGCCAAAGCTAGTGCGTCTAGAAGA